GGTCATTCGGTCCACCACGCAAGAGCAGTACATACGCACCGAGGAATTCGTCCCGGCGCGTCTACCGAGCTTTCGATAGACCAGAGTCGTGGTGAATGTATGTCTTGTGGGGAGTGTTTTAATTGTATACTACTTGGGCCGACGCCAACGATAATCATGTCATAACGATACCAATGCAGGGAGATGAGGGCAAGCATTTCAATAGAAGCGGTGCATGGCGCGGCGCTCGTCAGTTTGACCTTTTTTTTTCCCCCTTCGCGTCGTGATGTCGTGACTTGGTAGCCCGTGTGAAGACGTACTGTCCATGACGGTCGGACGGTCAGACGGGGGACGGGGCAGAGAATGGCCGACTCACATGCCGCTGTGGTTGCCCGTTTCAGGCCGCTCCGGAGCTGGGGGTCGGGGTCACGGGCGGGCGAGCTGCTGTCCCAACAAGGCAATTGCCTCGGTGTGAATTCCCCGCAAAGAGCTCCCCCCAACCCCACACTCTTCACCCCGGATTTACCTAGGTGCTTCGGCACGACTCCTCGACGGCTAGCTCCAAGCGTGTCATTGAGCTCCCTTTTATTCCCAGCCTCTTGGCCTTTTGTTGCGCTTTCTTGAATTGCACATACGCTTCTACTGTATGTCATCTCCCGCCTAGAGTACCACCCCAAAGACGACTACTAGCACGCCAAGACCAGTGTAAGACAGACAGACAGACAAAGACAAAGATGGCACCCTCCGGCCCCATCACAACACCCATAACCCAGCTCCTGGGCATCCAGCACCCGATCCTCCTCGCCGGCATGGCCCGCACGTCAGGCGGTCCCTTGGCGGCAGCCGTCTCCAACGCCGGGGGGCTAGGCGTCATCGGCGGCTTCCAGTACACCCCCGACCAACTCCGCGAGATCATTGCCGAGATGAAGGCGAATTTCAAGGCCCCCGACCTCCCCTTTGGCGTCGACCTCGCGCTGCCGCAGGTCGGCGGGAACGCGCGCAAGACGAACCACGATTACACGGGCGGCAAGCTCGACGAGCTCATCGATATTACGATTGCGTCTGGCGCGCGGTTGTTTGTGAGCGCGGTGGGGGTTCCCCCCAAAGAAGTGATTGAGAGGTTGCACGGGGCGGGGATCTATGTGATGAATATGGTCGGGCATCCGAAGCACGCTGTGAAGGCGCTGGATCTGGGCGTCGATATCATCTGCGCGCAGGGCGGGGAAGGGGGCGGACATACGGGGGACGTGGCGAATTCGGTGCTGATCCCCGCGGTGGTGGACGTCGCGAGGCGGTATAAGCCGCCCATGCTCAAGGGGTCTACTGCGCTGGTGATCGCCGCGGGCGGGATGTATAACGGCCGGAGTCTCGCGAGTTCGCTGATGCAGGGGGCCGTGGGCGTGTGGGTTGGCACGCGGTTCGTGGCGAGCGTGGAGGCCGGGTGTAGCCAGGAGCACAAGGAGGAGGTTGTGTCGTGCGGGTTCGAGGGGACGGAGAGGACGTTGGTGATTAGCGGGCGGCCGTTAAGGATGAAGACAAATGAGTACATCAGGGGGTGGCATGCGAGACCGGAGGAGATTAAGAGGTTGACGGAGGGCGGGACGGTGCCGATTGAGCATGATTTCGAGCAGGGGCGGGAGGATATTGAGATTCCGCATTTGATGGGGCAGGTTGCTGGTGCGATTGATAGGATTCAGCCGGCGGGGGAGATTGTGGAGGAGATGGTCAAGGAGGCGGCTGAGCAGTTGCGGCTTGGGGAGGTTTATCTTGGACGGAGTAAGCTTTGAAAGATTGGTGTATAATGTTGTACGAGTTGAGAATTAAGAAGATTGGCTACATGTGAAATGGGTATTGTGATGTCGTGTCCATAGATCATTACGCTTCCTCCTCCGCCTTCGTCTTCGTCTCTGCCCCTACGAACTTCCAATAAACTCCCCTACGCGAATCTGCGTATACCCCCAGCCCTCAGCCAACTCTCTCACCTCCTCCCCTATCCTCTCGGCCTCCTCCTTCGAGTACCCAAGCCTCAGCTGAACCTCCTCGGGCGTACACAGCTCCCGGATCTCAGGAAGCGGCGCAGGAATCCTGCTGCCTGTCTTCGTCCCACTCAACACCAGCGTTAAAGTCTCCAACCCAGCCCGGTACCGACACTTTAGCCACGACCCTGGGTTCCGAAACGGCTCTTCGCACACGACAATGACATGCCGCGCCCCGCGGACAGGGAACCCGCCGCCGCCCTTGCCCTCCACAACGGCGATGGTGTCCCGCAAAAAGTCGATGTAAATCCGCCTGTCGCCCCAGGTGTTGAGCCGGACGAGGGTATACCGCCGCAGGGCCTCGTACCGTGCCTCGCGGTTCACGGCAAGCAAAGCAGGGTTCGGCGCGTGGGTTGCGAGCAAGGTCCGCGGCGTGTCGCAGGCGTGCTGCCAGATTTTGAGGCGGAGTTCAGCTGGCAAGCGGGAGAAGGGGTGGAAGGTGTGCTCGGGCCCGCGGACCTGGAGGCGGAGGCCCTCGAGGTGGTGGGTGAGGTTCGCGGTTGTGCGGTGGGCCTCGTTGGTGAGGACGGAGGTTATTGTCTGGGTGAAGTGGGCGAGGAAGACGAAGGGGAGGAAGGGGATAGGCATTTCGCAGGTGGGACGGCTTATTGCCTCCCGTTTGAGCTTTTGCGCGAGGGACATGGTGGGTGGGAATGCGGGTTTGTCGTGAAGTTGGTATTTGTATGTTGGAATAAGGGCTCTGACGTTTCCGACCTCCTATTTTCGTATGTGGTCCTCGCGGTTGGGTCGTCAGCGCGAAAAAGGGGGCGGACCCTCGTCTTAAGACTCTTCAAACCGGCAGATTAAAACATCAATGGCGGGCGGGTAGAGAGATCGCCGACTTTGTTTGGAAAGCGATCCGGTGGCTTTGTCTCATGATCCCAGGGCTGCGGTGCTGCCGGCGCGGAATCAAGCCACCAAGAGGGATAGCCAAACGGCGATACGCTACCTTGGCGGGTTCCGGTCTAGATCTGGGTATCCGGTCGTTGTCGTCCCGCAGAAACTGTGAGAGCGAGTGGCTGGCCGGCTCGTTCTTTGAATCAAGTATGTCCAGACCAAGTTAGTGCTGGAGGCTGGTGTGCGGCTTTTTCTTTGTTCTGGTGGAGATGGTCACTGAATGGGCGGCAGAGATTTTGCAATCTTTGGTCGGTGGATGATGCGCGCGCTGGTGAGCGATACCGAGGTGACGAGAGTCCTATTTGTATTCCTCAGTTGACTGATGGTGCTGCAGTGTCTCGGATGGGATGGATGGTGTAGCAGTAGATCGATGCGATCTGGGCACTTACACGGGGAGGCGCGGAAGGCTTGGTTACACGTCAACTCACGCCATCACTGTGGCGTTTCTCGACGTCTGCTTCGATGTATGGGAGTCTCGTCCGTTGCCTGCGTCCGGCATGAAAGGTCCGTAGCAGAACCGCCGCCATCCTGAAGAACGCCTCCGTGGCAACCCTGTATTCGATGGTCACCATGGGATTCTGGGTGAGGTGGAGGGGTTCACTTGCCTGGATGGCAAAGGTCACGCCAAAGAAACGTCAGACTGTCTCAGGAATTCCTGTCTCACCGTTGCAGCTGACTAGATCTTGGTGGTTGGCTGGCTGGGAACGCAGACCCCAGGGAGCGGTTCAAACGGCCTATATCTGAGTCACCCGAGACACGTTCAGCATCATCGGCATTCCAGTCCAACGACGCATGGCAATTCCAAAGCTTGGCTGTTCGAGACATTTGTGCCAGGGTCGCATCTTCGGTTTCGATGCCACGAAGCATGTGAAGGCGTAGACTTCCAAGGCGAGTTTGGGACTGTGGGACGAATCTGGTGTGAAAAGGGGCAGATGTGCTTCGAGGCGACTGAATGCTCTTGCAGGGTCTCTCGGATACCTTGGTGAAGACGGATGTTCTCCTGATCTACCGTCAGATGGCAGAATGCTTGACTGGCCGGTCGAGGCTGTTTGGACGCACCGCACACTGCCTTTCAACTTGTCCCATGGTCGAGATTCCCGTGGCCTACTCAGAAACCGGTTTCAAAGTGATGACGACCAAAGCAGAAGCTTGTGGTTCAGGTTTGGGCTCTGGAGATGCCCACGAAGACTAGCCAGAACGAGACACAGAATAGGGGCATTAGGATTGCACGCACCTAAGCCTCCAAAAAGCTGTACCATCTTTGATCGTTCCAGTGGACAGCGTTCTCCATCTTGCGTTAGTTTCCTCGTTGCCCTGGGCTCTGGCCACAAGATGTACGAAAGATCCAGCTGCAAGAGGTTCGGTCGAGGCTCCTACATATATCCCACGGGAATTCCATCAACTGCTCGAACCCCTTTCTCCATAGAGTCTTTTGTTGAGATGTTTGAGGACGCCTTGTTCTCTGTTGACGAGGGTCGGTCTGCTACCATTTCCTGAAGATCTATGTTATGCCTGTTGATGGAAGGGCTAAAGTCTCCGTGATATCACCACTCGGCTCTGCTTGGCCATATTCCTGGCTTATTCGTAACGAGAATAGCCAAACGACGCCTGATAATCCAAAGTGGGCGTGTCTTGTGATGGCGAAATACTCCCAGTTCTTTGCCGAGAGATGGGCCCCAGACAACCATACACATTGACGACAATGGCTGCCGAACACTCGCGGTGTCTCTTGACAACCGACATTGGCAACTTTGACCTGTAGAGGGGACATTTGCGTTTGGCCCCGGCCATAAAAGTAGACACATTTATAGGAGACGGAACAGATTCGCAGCCGCAGTTGAATAGGGGGCCAAGAGTGACTCGTTCCTTCCCTCTGCCTACGTTCCTCCTTCCTTTTCAAAGCGCAGCCAAACCCTCTCGCTTGTAAAATCCACCGGCGGCATCGGAATTTGTTCCATCTTTTCTCTCCGTCAAAGAAAATATTCAGCGATCCATTCTTCGTTACAAGACGGGCCACCTTCGTCTCAGCAAATCACACCGTTGGAAATCACTCCCCGTTCCAAATCATCGCCGCTCCAAAACATCACCATGTCTGTCACCAGCGGCACGTCCAGCAGGCCTCTGATCCGCAAGCCGGCCCCCCATGAGGCCGTCTTCTGTAGCGTCTGCAGCAGGAGGTTCCCCAGCTTCGAGGAGCTGATGGGACACAAGCGCATGGCGATGCTGACCGAGGGAACCCACATCCACTGCGCCGTGTGCACCCGCGACTTCAACAGCCAGGACGCCCTGAACAAGCATCTTCTGGAGGTGAGTGCTATCAAGTCTCCAGCACTCGACATGGACTAACGACAACAGGCACACCCGCAGGAGCAGAACCTCACCTGCCCAGGCTGTCAGAAGAAGTTTGTCCGGTTGGCTGGATGGATGAGACATCTCGAGCACAACGAGTGCCCTAGGATTCGCCGCGCAGACGTCGACCAGATCCGCGCACAGAAGCTCACCTTCTCCCACGAGCTCGATAAGCGCAGCGGCTCCCAGTTCGGAGACTACTTCCCCGTGTCCCACCCCAGCGTCCAGTCCGCCTTCGAGGCGCAATCCAACCTTGATGCCATGTCCACCGTGGACGCGCAGTCCGAGTTCGAAGACAAGGCCTACATGGCTCATCCGTCCTTCTTCAAGCCCAACGACTTTCCCAACGTGAAGGAGGTCACCGAGAGCCTGGATAGCATTCAGCAATCGGATAATGGCAAAGAGAAAGTGGACGACGTGAACAATCCGTCTCACCGGCTCTTTGACCCCAGAAAGTACTACAATACCCTCACGCACAAGTACAAGTGTCCTCAGCCGTCCTGCAAGTTCGTAGCCCCTTCCATATCTGCATGGCAAGATACTGACAGCAGAACAGGAAGACTTTTCCCAGCAGCGGCGCCCTCATCACCCACATGAAGTCGGCGGCCTCGCACTATAATGCCAAGCTGCAGTGCCCCGGCTGTCTGCGCTACTTCAGGGATGCGTCGTCCTTGACCGCCCACTCCGAGTCGGAGTCGACCCGGTGCAGCATCCGCAAGTCCGAAAACTACCGCGCCTACCTCGACCAGCTCACCGGAGGCATGGCGGACCTCGGCAACAAGCACGAGGACGGCACTATTAAGTATGAGGTCAGCACGGAGGCCGTCGTCAAGTTTGCTCCGTCTCGGATGGCCAGGACGGCCACGGAGGACTACATGGCACAACAGGAGGCCGACCGTCAGGAGGAATGGGCTCGCAACAATATCGTCTGGTAGGGGTGTCATAGGAACGTACGTCACGAGCGAGTGGTTAGCGAAGCATGGTTAGGTATCCAAGTAGAATAATCGAATCCAATGGAGTCTAGCAGGCACGAGAAGCTCCTGTCAAGGAGGTGTCGTTGCAAGACCGTGCCCACTTCCCACACACTGTATGCCCCGCCAACACTTTACGCGCCATCCCACCAAGACGCGCTCGTCGCGTCCCACCTAAATGTTCCGTCGTCAAACTTCCCGGCACTCAACTTCACGGCACACAACACCACCAGGCGAAACAATGGCGGAAGCGGAATTGAAGGAGTTCTTCACCTCGGGAGACAAGGGCCTCGAGCCTGAAGTTCTCACCGAACTGCAATCCCTATTGCGTCTGCACGACCTGTCCGCCGAGGACCTCTTTTACAAATGGGAGTCCTTCTGCATCAAGATGGACATGGACGCCATGGACCCCGATATTGTGCACGTGCGAAACTTCAAAAAGGACATCCAGGACGCACTGGAAAAGAGCAACCGCCAGCAGACGCACATCAAGACGGAGAAGCGTAGTCACGGTACTCCACGAGCCGGCAGGGGCGGCGGCGACGTCTTTGGCATGTTGGATGGACTGGTGCCCAGCACGCCGGCGTCAGGGAGGCTGAACAAGCCGAGCAGTCTGCGAAAGAAGACGCACGAGACGCCGACAATGTCGCGGGTCAAGGCCGAGATCCCCTCGAGCTCGCCAGACTACAAGGGGGCCTCCAAGATGGAGGAACAACTCAACGCAATGTCACTGTAAGGACTTGGACCGCATTCGCCTTCCCAGACACTAACGATAGCAGACCCAGCTCGTTCAACGACCGACAGAACGCCGGCGAGACGGTGGAAGTGCTCAACGACCACCTCAACGCTCCCGAGCCGCCGATTTGCCCATACCCCGAACCCCGCATCAAGTTGACGGCGGCATCAGACCAAAAGAAGCTGGCGTACAAGCCCCTGGCGATGAAGCTGTCAGAGGCGTCGGAGATCCTCGACGACAGGATAGACGAGTTCATGCACATCATCCAGGACTACCACAAGCTGGACTTTTCAGAGTTCGGCAACGCGGCGAGCCAGAGCACGACAGAGGTGATTGCTGTGGGACGCATCGCCTCGGATGCGCCAGAGGGAAAGCTGAACGCGGCGTCGCTGGTGCTGGAGATGTCGAGGCGGGTGGGCGGTGGTCTGCGGGCGCCCCTGAACATGCGTAACAAGGGGTACAGCTTCTTCCCCGGCCAAATTGTGGCCCTCAAGGGCATCAACACCTCGGGCAACGAGTTTGTCGTCGAGGACGTGCTCGAGGTGCCTCTGCTGCCAAACGCGGCATCGACGCCGGCCGCACTGGCTGCGCACCGCGAGAAACTGCGAGGCGACCCCGACGCCATGGACACCGACTCGGACCCGGCGCCCCTCAACATTCTCTACGCTTCCGGGCCGTACACGGCGGACGACAACCTCGACTTTGAACCGCTGCACGCTCTGTGCGACCAAGCCGCCGACACGTACGCGGACGCGTTGGTGCTGACGGGGCCCTTCATCGACAGCGAGCATCCTCTGATTGCGATGGGCGACTTTGACCTCCCGGAGGAAGCCGTCATCGAGCCGGACACGGCCACGATGTCGACCGTCTTTAAGTACATGTTCTCCCCGGCGCTGAACCGCCTCGTGTCCGCCAACCCCAGCATTACCATCCTCCTCGTCCCCTCGGTGCGCGACGTCATCGACAAACACGTCTCGTGGCCGCAGGACTCGGTCCTGAAGAAGGAGCTCGGCCTCCCCAAGACGGCGAGGATCGTCACCAACCCGATGACGCTGTCCGTCAACGAGATGGTCATGGGGATATCGTCGCAGGATATCCTCTGGCAGCTGCGGCACGAGGAGCTCGTCGGCGGCCGCCCCGCGGATTCGTCGCTGTTGTCGAGGCTTAGCAGGTACCTGTTGGAGCAGAGGCACTTTTTCCCGCTCTTCCCGCCGACGGAACGCCAGAAGCTGCCCAAGACGGGAACCGAGGAGGGGATCCCGCCCGGTGCCATGCTGGATCTTAGTTATCTGAAGCTGGGCGAGATGGTCAATGTTCGACCGGATGTGCTTGTGGCGCCCAGCTTTTTGCCTCCGTTTGCCAAGGTGAGTCCCGTCGTCTTCGTTCCAAGTACTTGACTAACAAAAGCAGGTCGTCGAGAGTGTCCTCGTGATCAACCCGGGCTACCTCTCCAAGAGACGTGGCGCCGGCACGTACGCCCGCCTGACGCTGTTCCCTCCCAAGGCCGACGTGGGCCAGTCCGGGGCCATGGTGAGCCACGGCGTGTTCGAGCGCGCAAGGGTGGAGATTAAGAAGATTTGAAGCGCACCTATATGACGTTTACGATGGCAAAGGGTTTTCTTTCAGGGCCTCGGAGTTCGGTGGGGAGGGTATATTCAGCATGCGCTCGTAGTGAGCCTGGTTAGGATACGCTTCTTAATACATTTTTGAAATGACGACCACTGGCTTTTATCTAGAGTCCACGCGCCTCCGCTTGTCGCTGTCGTAGCGCTCCCTCTCGCGCGACGGGCTGCGCTTCCGTCTGTCCCTGTAGTCGTCCCGCGAGTCGCGGCGCGGTGATCTCGACCTCGACCGATCGCGACGGCGGTAGTCGTCCCTATCTCTGCGCCGGTCGTCTCTGTCGCCTCCGCGCCGGTCATCATCGCGGTACCTGTCACGATCACTTCTGCCACCACCTGAAGGCGCCTTGCGATCACCCAAAGGAATGGCGTTGGCACCGTTGACCTCACGGTCGTTATCCGGCCGGAACCGCTCGTCCACATCGTGCCTGTCGAAGCCGCCTCTCCTCCGGTCACCGCCACCACCCCCGCCGCCACGCCGGTCATCAAACTCGCCCCATCGTCCCGTATCCTCGCTCTTGAGATCCTTGTACTTTGTCCCGCCCTTGCGTCCCAGCTTCGTCATGTCGCGCTTCTGGAGGTATTCCGGCAGCGCGCTGCGGTCCTTGACATCGTCCGCGATGCGCATGCCCATGAGGTCGCGCTTGTCGAGCCCGTACGCCTTGGCTTCCTCGCTGTAGAACGCGCCCTTGTGATAGTACTTTTGCAGATACGACATCTTGCCCTTGGCGTCCTTTTCGTCCTGCTGCGCGGCAATCTTGTCCGCGTCCTCGGCGTCGCGCTCCTCTTGTGTGAGGTTCTGCCGCCGCTCGCGCTCGGCGTACTCTGCCTCCTGCTCGGCGATGCGGTCGCGCTCGCGCTTCACGCGTTTGAGCTCGCGGAGGCGCCAGGCTGCGAGTTCGGCTTCCGGGTCGAGGTCGTCTGTCGTGTCGACGTCGGAGCCCGAGGCCTCGTCGTCGTCCCAGTGTTTCTTACCGGCGGCGCGGGCGGCGAGGTCCTTTGCGATTTGTTCTTCGACGAGGGCGTCGGCGGCGGCTTTGCGGCGAGCTTCTTCTTCTGCTTGGCGCGTCTCGTCGTCTTTGGGGGCCGGGGTGGAGGATTGTCCTCCCTTGGCGGCATTGCGCTGGTTCTTTGGGATGAATTTGGGTCGGATCATGAGGCGGCGGGGGGCTTCTTCTTCGCTGCTGCTTTCCTCCTCGCTAGAGCTCTCTTCTTCGCCTTCCTCATCATCTTCTCCCTCTTCTTCCTCCTCTTCTGTCACGAAACCCTCTTCCGCGGCGAGCCGCTCCGCCTTTTCGCGCGCTATCCTCTGGTTCTCCTTGTCCTGCGCCTCGCGCCTCCGTTCATCGAGGTTGACTTTGCTGAGGTTACTGGCGATCTTGGCGGCGCTCGATGCCTTTGGCGGCGGCTTGATCGCGCGGGCCTTTGTTGTGTCGTCGTTTGCCTTTTCTTCGTCATCGCTCGCGTCCGAGTCTGATGAGTCCCCTTGGGGGACGGCCTTGCCCGGGAAGTAGCGTCCCGGCTTGACCGGATTCGCGGTCATGCGCTTGGGTGGCATCTTGTGGTTTGTGTGGATGTCGTGGATGGTGAACTGAGTGACGTCCGGCTGAAAATCGAGGCTGCAAGGTACGGTACCTCTGGTCCCCTGGCGGATTTGGGGCGGAACTGCACAAGTGTTTCCCCGCTGGGTGGCCCTGTAAGTTTAGCGTTTTTAGTGGACCTGGCGCCGCCGCAGAGCTTTTGGCCCCTCCAAGACGTCCAAGTTTGTGACCGACTGGAGGCGGAGGAGCAGAGATGGGCGTGGAATGTACTTTGCGTCAAGGCTTTCAAAAACTTTCAAGGACCTGCATGCAGAATGGTCATCATTGGGTATCTATCATGAGTCTCATAGCCCGAGGACCACCTCTCGGGGCAACATGAACCGAAACTGACAACGGACTACAAAATCTCCTCGTCGAAATCGTCGTTTGCCGGGGGAGGCGCCGACACAGCAGCAGCAGCGGGCGCAGGCGCAGGCGCAGCGACATCATCGTCGGCGCCGTCCATCTCCTCGTCCGTCTCCCAGTCCTTGCCAGCAGCCACCTCGACGGTCCTGCTCTTCGTCTGCCTCTGCTCCACCTCGAGATCCTCCTCGTCGGGGAACTTCTTGGCCGCAATGGCCCCCTTGTTAATGTCCTCCCACTGCTTGCTCCGCGTCTGGACCCTCCGCGCCTTGTCTTTGCTCTTCTCCGTCTTGGTCGACGTCCTCCCCATGATGGCCTCGGCACGGTCCGCCGCCCTTTCTTTCCTCTCCTTGGCCTTGGCGCTCATCTGCGCCTTGCGGTTCTTGGTCTTCTTGGACACGCCAGAGTTGTGCTGGGCGTTGAGAACCGACGGCCGAAAGTCGGTCGCGGCGGCCGGGGCCTTGACTTCCTTGAGAGACTTGTCGGTGTCGATGTCGACGTCCGTCGCCCGCCTTGCGGCTCTCGAGTGGAGCGAGGGTTCTGTTTGTGTTAGTCAGATTCCCCTGTACAATAGAAGCAATGGTCTTACGTCTGTTCTTCTTGGATACGCCCGGTTTCGCCATCTTTGCGATCGATTTGTCGAGTTCTGGGTGGTGTAGACTGCACCGCCAGACTCGCCCGCAATGTGGGGGATATAAAATTCCTTATCGACCTGCATGCTATCTTATCACGATAAGCGGGGCGATCACAAGCCTTGGGGCCGCACTCTGACCAATCCTTGTCGCAGCGTTGCCCCTGTGGAACCCCTGGTCCCGCTCAACTTTGGCATCTTTCCTTCGAGCACTGCCGCGACACCTCAACACCATCCGTGCAGACATTCCAGAGCCTTACTCACCCACAACCACTTAATCAGCGAGCATCGCCACGACTGGACACCTCTCGAATCGCCTCCTCGACATGGCAGCGCGTGGCCTCTCCGATATAGCATTGCAGAAGCTCGCCTGAAGCTCCCACTTCCACAAGCACCCGTAACACAGCACTATGAATTCTCCCGCATTCAAGCACTCCTACGGCGGACCCGACTACCACCGACGACTTCACGCCGACGAGACCATTTGGACGAGGCTGACGGAGCCGAGCGTCGTCGTGTCCCTCTTTGCACTCGTCCTCACAGCGCTCGTCTCTGTTTTCGGCGCTTCCCTTCCGACCACCCTACTCTCGCACGCCTCTCGGACCCTCTGGGACGTAATCGTCTGGCTTATCCCCCACGACGCCTTGACCCTTCTGGAAGCCTGGCTGCATCCGCCGCTCGTTCCGCGACCGATGCTCCAGAACCAAGCCAGAACACATGCGGCCAAGAGTGCGCTCCTGAAGAAGATTCTCGGCATGGACAGACAGGGAGGCATCATGGGGACGGTCTCGCAAGCCGGCATTCGAGGGCTGTCGTCCGTCTCCGGGGCCATGATGAGCCTCAAGGGCTCCAGCAACTACCCGCCGGGCCTGGGGAACCTCGATAACTCGTGCTACCAGAACAGCATCCTGCAAGGGCTGGCCTCGCTCAAGCCTTTTCCAAAGTACCTGGCCGACCCCGTCCAGGACCCCGAGATTGACCGCCGGAAAGTCGAGGCCGTCGACACGCTGCGGAACCTGATTGAAGACCTCAACAGCGCTCGGAACTACGGCAAGACGCTGTGGACGCCAGGCTCGCTCAAGAACATGAGCACGTGGCAGCAGCAGGATGCGCAGGAATACTTCTCAAAGCTGCTCGACGAGGTGGACAGGGAGATTTCAAAGGTGGCCAAGGCAACCATCAAGTCGTCGGGCTTCGAGTCCGAGTGCGCCAACGACGACACTGCCACGAGCCAGCACAGCGACGACAGCGGCTACCAGAGTTTGTCGACGGCTTCCAAGATCAGCGCGGCCTCCAAGTCTCTGAGAAACCCCCTCGAGGGGCTCGTTGCTCAGCGGGTGGCCTGCGTGGAGTGTGGGCACTCTGACGGCCTTTCCATGATCCCCTTCAATTGCCTCACGCTCAGTTTGAATGTGGGCGGCAATGATCACGATTTGTACGAGCTTCTAGACGCGTACGCCCACATTGAATCGATTGAGGGCGTTGAGTGTGGAAAATGCACGCTCCTAAAAGCCAAGAGACTGCTGACCCTCCTCGTTGAGAGAGCGGAAGCGTCGTACACTGACGAGCAGAAGCTCAAGGAACCAAAGTCGCGGCTGGCGGCCGTTGAGGAGGCCCTGGAAGAGGACGACTTCGAGGACAAGACGTTGACGGAAAAGTGCAAGTTCCCCCCCAACTTCAAGGTCTCGTCGACAAAGACGAAACAGGCCGTCATTGCACGCCCGCCGCAGAGTCTCGCCGTTCACATGAACAGGTCCGTGTTTGACGAGAACACTGGCATGATGTACAAGAACTCGTCCGGGATCCGGTTCCCCCTGACGTTGGACCTCGGACCGTGGTGTTTGGGTAGTGCCAGCAAAACGGGTTCCACTGACGGCTTGGAGGACGAGGAGCAGTGGCTGTTGGATCCGCGGTCCTCGATGATTGCCGGCGACAAGCGCAAGTCGTACATTACCGGGCCGATCTACGAGCTGCGGGCCGTCGTCACGCACTATGGCCGTCACGAAAACGGGCACTACGTCTGTTACCGCAAGTTCCCTCGACACTCGCCGCCGAGTGATGGCGAGGAGGTTGTCTCGCCCAAGTCGGAGCCTCTGGACGACGACCCCGATGCGGACATGGACTGGTGGCGTCTCAGTGACGACACGCTCCGCAAGGTTGACGAAGAGGAGTTGCTGGCGCAGGGTAATGTCTTTATGCTATTCTACGACTGTGTCGACCCCAACATTATCCCCTCGTCCGAGGTTACTGCCGTAGAGGCTGTGGCGGCCCAGGACGCAGACGCGATGGACGCAGAGGACGAGGAGACGCCCAAGGTGGAGAAGCCCGCCTTTACATGCACGGTGAAGGAGGTCTCGGAGGAGGATGATGATGATGAGATGCCGGTGGCCGGTACTATGGTGGCGGTCGCCGAGGGAGATGTCTCACAGGCGCGGTCTGTGCCGCTGCCAGGAGACGGAGACGACGAGTTGGGAGAGAATCAGACCGAGCGAGGACCGCAGATGATTGCCGTCTGAGTGCTTGGTTCTGTGTAAGAAATACTGTTGCTCTTGGTCGTTTTATAGCATAGCGATAGGCGTTGGGATTCCGCGGTAATACCATGCGCTCGCGGCGCGGATACTGAGCTGGGGGATGCTCTGGCTACTAAGTTCACGGGATCGGGTAATGGCATAGTTAATTCACTGCGTAGTTGAACTTTTGATGAACACCGTGACATCAGTTGATGCGGACCCTCCGCAGACCACCCTCCTCCATCTCCCTAGGCCAAAAGTCATTCTCAGCCAAAAGGACCCTCTCCCACATCACCATAGCCTGATCAAGTTCGTTCCTGACGGCCTCCTCGCCGTGTCGTTGGACCGCCTCGTCTACGCCGTCGTCGATGATGGAGGCTAGCTCGTCTACGAAGGTTCGAAAGGCCAGGCTGCTCCAGTTGGGGATGAATTCTGTTCGTAGGGCGCCGCCGTCCAAGTCTGTTGCTGTGTCTTTGCCAGAGGAACCAGAGACACCAGAGGCAGATGTAGCAGAGCCAGACGAAGGAAGCATGTCTTTAGCACCGGACCATGCTTCGAGGTAGCACTTCTCCGTTGCCCAGAAGAGGACGGCGGGGGCGAGCCAGGGGAGGAGAAGTCCACCGCGAGGAGGGGTGGTGTTGATGGAGGTGAAGAGGCGTTCGAAGGCGAGGAGGCCTGCGTTTTTGTTCTCGTTGCTCACCCGCCGGTTGGTACTACTGCCGCTCTGGGAGGTGGGCTCAGCGGGCAAGTTTACATTGATACCGAAGCGGGCGGCGACGTCGATGAAGAATTTCTCTTCGCGGCGGACGTTGACGAGCGCGTCGATAAGCCAGTGGAGGAGTCGTTCCGTCACGGTTGTCGTTGCTCTGTCTGCCGCTCCGTCCTCCGTCACAGCGGTGGCAGAGCCAGCATCGTGACCAGAATTATCGTGACGAGACGCGGACTCGACAACGTCCGGGAGATCCAGCAGCGCGAGGAACCGGCCCGCGCCTTTGATGTAGGCGTGGATGTAGAGCCTGTCGTTTGCGAGCCAGCGGCCCAGGATCGGTTTGGGTACTTGGCCGCGCGCGGCGGCGGCGAGGAACGCGGAGGTCGTGGAGGCGTGGTAGAGGGCTTTGTGGGTGGTGAGGAGGTTGGTTGTGAAGGTCATCTTGAGAGAGAGACTAGTCTTGAGACTTGAAGGTGTGGGGCTTGGCTGGGTTCACTTCTGTCTCTGGATGTTGTCAAGAAAAAAAGGGGGTTTTCTCGCTGCTTGGGACTGCGCGCGATTTCAATGACACGCGATCTACAAGAGATGGGCGGTCGTTGGGATGGATCTCCATAGTTTAGTAAGCCTTGGCTGCAGGTTACGAACCTTGTGATAGGTCAATGGATCCTGATGTCGGTCCTGGTCAGCAAACGCTACTCTCGTCTTCGGGATTCAGAGGCTTGGGGGGGGGGGGGGGAGGGGGTTCAGGCTTGAGGATCAAAGAGAGGGACACGTCGTTCAGATCATGTATTCTAAAGCTGTGCCTGTGATGCATGCTGCTCGTGATATACAATATTACAACACCGGGCGGCCTAGACCCAAAGACCACCCAAAACCCTCGCGCGTTTGAAAAGCCAGCCAACACTCCCTCCCTCCACCCAATGTCACAGATTTTTCTGATTCCAATGTCTCTTTATACACAACGCGCTATCCCAAAACTCCAGGCTTTGATGATGGAAGGAAAAAAAAAAAAAAAAGGGAAAAAAATGCAACACATCTAGGCACTGACGGCGCCAACCTTGGCAAACCAGTCGGCCGGTGCCGCGGCGCCCTTGTAGGCGAAGCCCATGACGACCATGAGGGTGATGAGTGTGAGCAGGCCAAAGAAGATGGCGCGGCGGAGGAGGGGCGAGAGGCGTCCCTCGTCGAGGGCGTGGGAGTTCCAGACGCCGCGGGACCACGCGACGGCGCCGGCGCTCGAGGCCTTGAGCTGGTCCCAGCCGGTGGAGTAGATGACGAGGCCGAAGAGGGCGACGGCGTAGCCGATGAACTGCAGGGCTGTGATGCTGGTGTGCCAGATGAGGACGGAGACGACGATGAGGAGAATGTTTTTCAGGATGCCGGTGAGGGTCATGACGAGGCCTGACGTCTTGCCGATCTGCTTTCTGTCAGTAAGGGGTCGATGGAGTATAGAGACGGCACTTACGAGGAACACGCTGGAGATGTTGAGGGCAAAGGCGACGCTAGCGTTAAGGAGCAGCATGGTGAAGCCGACCTTGTTAAAGTCCTCGACGTTGAACTTGCCAAACTCGCTGAACCAGGCGACGAAGAAGTTCATGACGGCGCAGACGGGGGCGTAGTAGTAGAGGCTGACGAGGGGGTCCATCTTTTGGGCGTTCTCGTCGCCCTTGAGGAGGACCTGGATCATGACGAGGCGGATGGCCTCGAAGATGATGCCGCCCATCTGGAAGATGAAGCCGATCCAGGAGAACTCGATCTCGCCAAAGGAGGCGAGGCCGACGCCGCCGACGATGAGGAGGATGTTGTAAAAGGTCTTCATGGAGGGGTCGGCGACGCCCCAGATCCAGCTGGTGAAGAGGACGGCGACTGGGGCGGCGGCCTTGAGCATCTGGATGAAGGAGACGGAGAGGTAGAGGTAGACCAGGTTGGAGCAGACGAGGGAGCCCGAGTAGAGGACGCCGATGGGCATGATGGCGCGCAGGTAGACGCGGCCCGTCATCTTGACCTTGTGGCGGCCATCGAGGAGGGAGGTGAAGCGCGCCAGCACCTGGGTTGCCAGGGTGGAGAAGACGAGATGCCAAAAAGTGAGGATCACGGCTGGGACATGTTAGTGGGGAGCAGTGAGGGTCAGTTGGTGAGACGTACGGTATTCTGTGCATGGTTAGTGACGGTCAACGTGATGGGACCAGGGTGTGCTTACTGAAGCCGGCTGTGTCAAGCAGCCACTTGTTGAAGAGGATGGTCAAGTTGGAGAAGAAGATCCAGCTCCTGTGGGAGTGTTAGTGACGCCCGGCGAGGCTGAGGATGGATACTCACGCGATGAAGAAGGCTGGGTGAAGAGCCTTGGAGCCCACGGGCTTCTCAGTGGTTGGCAGCTCGCTCATGATTGCGTTTTGTTGTGACAGGGGTAACGAGCAACGAAGTCAAGAAGCCAAGCGACGGCGGGTGATCGGAGGGTACGGCGACGGAGACGGCGGTGGACGACGGGACTGGAGTCGGTGGTGGGCCGGGTTCGTCGGGGGGAAGGAAAGGATGAGGGTTGCTGCTGTCAGACGGAAGGCATGAGAGATGCAGTGCAGCGACGCGACAGAAGAGCGACAAGGAAAGACGGGAAGAAAAGATGGAAGAGAGGAGGATGCAGAATGTGAACCACCTTGCAGGTCAACAAGGTGACAAAAGGGTGAGAGCGAGAGTGGCACGGAGAAGAAACGAAGGAAGAGAAGTCAAGACTGCAAGGTGTGTGGCGGCAGGCGGATGTTTGAAGCGCTGCGCCGTTTGCTGAACTGGTGCCTGCAGTACCTTAAGGTCCTTTGGGAAGCCGAATGAGCCCCCTTCTGCAGCGTGGGTTTTCTCGTATTTTCTGCTGGCTGCAATGTACCTGGCGATGGTACGAAATAGGACGGCACCTTATTGGACTGGGCTGACCACTGGCCGTAACTGGGCCTGAAGAAGGCTGGCGGAGAAGGGGGTTTTTTTGGGGAGGAGGCGCTAAAGTCGGGCGGCCGGCACGTGGAGGGAGTGACCCCTGTCTTTTGTCTTTAGTTGTTGGAGTGTTGGAGTTGCAAGAGTTGATGTTGGTTGCAGTCTGACAGTTTGGAGATGTTGGTTGCAGTCTGGCAGTCTGATAGTCTGGTGTCTGCAGAGTAGATGGAGCTATAGATGCCACAATCGCGGCCGGTTCACTGAACGAGTTGCTGATTGTCCGGAGAGATGTTGTGTCCGGACTGATGGGTCCTTGGTCGTTGGACTGTACTCAGTAGAGGCAGACCGCAGAGAAACCTCGAAAGCGCAACGTGTCGTGCAACGATGGAATTTGCAAATGAACCTTGTGGCGGGCAATTTGCCTCGAGGCTTTCAGGGGACCAAGGGAGAGTGGAGGTGTTCGGATGAGGAAAGGAGAGTTGGACAGCGGGAGTTGTGGTGATGATCAGAGGAAGGGGAGAAGTCAAGGAGCGAGAGCTTGAGATGAGTGCCGACGGACTCAAGGCGAGACAAAGGCACAATGCAAGACACAACGGCGAGCCAAGGGGGGTCGTGTAACGCGAGGGAAGGGGAAACACCTCTAGTCTCTGCTCTTTAGTCCGTACTGCGTACACATGGAATTGACAAAAGGCAATGATCAAGGGGAAAGTTTGTTGGCTCGGCCCCGCGATGCAGCGGATTGACGACCTAGTGCTGGGGCGCTGCCTGTGCCGTTGGCCGTCTATTGCTGCCCGCAGCCTGTCATGTTTTAATTAAGCTCAGAGGCCAGGGGAAGCATAAAACTTGGCTCTTCATCTCCTGCATTGGTGCCGTGGTGCTATGGTGCCCGCCTCCAGAGGTACATGACACAAATACACCTTAGGTCATCACCTTAGCTAAGCACAAACAAGCGAGGTTGCACAAAGACGGCACACGCGGGATGTCTTGTGCACCGCTTTCACCCTACCTCCACTTTCTGCATAACCGATTCGTGTAACCAAGGGATCGCCTGTGGCTTGTTCAGGCGTCCGCTAAGCTCTCTAGTGGCCTCATCTCCCCCACGCTCCCTTGCATCACCCATGGCTTCTCGCCCATCAACACCATCATCAACCACGATGTGATGCTTCATCGCTCGGTATCCGCATTCCAACACTAGTCCACCGTCACGGAATGCGGGGGAAAAAAACTCAACTCCCTTGGCTGCCACCAGAACTCGACCCGGTTCTCGGATCCAGGACAGACATCCAACGCGTGCTGTGTAACTCCAGGGGAAACCCAAGGGAAACCCAATGCCGACGACGCTTTCGATTGCTTTGCACTACAAGCCATCATCTGTTTGTCAAACCGGCCTTGTTCGCAATATCCTTCTGGGTCTGTGGGCTGTCGTCGCGTGGTACTTGTCCACCGCGTTGGAGACGCCATCAAGGCCGTAGTGAGGCTCAATCCATGTCCATCATAAGACTAGCGGAACGTCAGTCAAGACATCTCGGGCCTCCGCCGAAATGTGTTCAGAAAACAACACCAAATCATCACAAAGCGTGCCCGCCATCCTGCAAGCCCAGTCTACCACACTGGCCTGTGACTCGCCGCCTCTCTTTCTTTTGCTCTCCAGCTGCAAGCCCACATCTGCTCACGGCGAGCTTTCCAAAGACTCAAGACCTCGGACAGGGGTACTCGCTCCCCGAGGATCCCGTACCGTCCCGCTTGCAACCACAGGGCTCGGTCCATAGACCACAGGCAATGGTCCACAAACCATACCCAGACGACTGGAAGGCTAGGCGTGTTAGGGCAGATCAAGGGATCTTTGACAAGTGTCGACCGTCGTTATCTTTGCGCCAAGCTGGCATGGCCGCCCCCTGCATCGGCTTTGGATGAGGACATTCACACTGCAGCGGCGCGGCCTCCCTGCCGGAAGTATGCGTGCGAATAGCATCTGCGTGCCAGTGCCGCCCAAAGATGCTCATCCCAACACCCATCCAGGGTCTGGTGCACGTCAACCTCCCTTTAGCCGTCCCCAAGGTCCCGTCTACGAATGGATGCTGTCGTGATAGTCTCGTGCCATCGCGGGTCTACACGTTCCTGCGGCTGTCTGTTGGTTCCAACTCGGCGTCAATCGCGGCATCGCCTTGTCCGCCACAGGCACTGCATTCGGTGATTACATTCCCGCCATCACGTTCTCGAATTGCATGGCCCCCAAGGGCCCAAAGGGTTCCAACACAGCAAATAACGCCCACCCCTGTCTATCAAAGGGCGGGCCTCAGCTCGGCGGGCTTAGAAATGTACAGGCTCGACATACGACGCCTTTTAGCGGAGGCGAGACACTTATAGGATTGTCCTCTGAAATGTTCGAGACCGACGACTCAGTCTGAACCTTGAGAGAGCTCAGGCCAGCCGCCAACCGACTTTGTGTCCCTCGCAGAGTTCAACAGGTTCAGCTTGTACCCCTCACCTCGCCCATTTTCTATTTCACTGCTCGCAAGATTTGGCCGATAGTTTGCCGTTCCCCATCTTCTCTTCTCTGTCGTCTTGTTCATCTTGCAGCTCAAGGTTTGAGCGGTTTTCCTCGGGGCATCCTTTCCTTTCATCTTCTTCCCGGTCGATTCCCAGTCACTTATACCCACAAACATGATGAACAAACCAACATCAGGTCACCAGATCAAGTATCTGGCCGTGGTGGCTTCCCTCGTTTTCATCTGGCTCGTCTGGCGTCTCGATCTTCACTCAGAGGTGGCCGAGCATGCCCGCAAGATCACACACCCCAACAGCACGCCGTACGATGGCCTCGCCAAAGCCGGCAACAGCGAGGTCCTCCCTCCTGCAAAGGCTGTCGAGTACTGTGACCACTTCCGCCTGAAGCCGGCCAACACGGAGCTGGTCCGCAAGCGCAAGGTGTACGACCTGCTCCTCATCAACACCGAGGTCGAGATGCTCGAGGTCCGCCTCGGCCAGATGGCTCCCTACGTCGACTACTTTGTCATTCTCGAGTCGTCCCTGACCTTCACCGACAACCAGAAGCCGCTGTACATCAAGGAGAACTGGGACCTCTTCAAGCCGTGGCACCACAAGATGATTCTCCGCGAAATGGACCTCGAGGCCCTCAAGGAGAGCAGCACCTGGGACCGCGAGGCCAAGAGCCGCAACGCCATGTACGAGCAGGTCATCCCCACGCTCGAGGGCGAGCAGCAGGCTTCTATCGATGACATTCTCATCGTCTCCGACGTGGACGAGATCCCCAAGCCCGAAGTCCTACGCGCCCTGCGCAACTGCGAGATCCCGCCCCGCGTCTCCATCCACTCCAAGATCTACTACTACTCCTACCAGTGGCTCTCCCGCAACGACTGGAACCACCCCCAGGCCACCGTCTACCGCGGCGTCGACACCGTCCTCCCCCACGACCTCCGCCACAACGCAAACGACCACCACTTCAACCAGGGCGGCTGGCACTGCAGCTACTGCTTCAGCACCGTCGAGGAGATGGCCCAGAAGATCAACTCCTTCTCCCACGCCGAGCTCAACAAGCCCGAGTTCAAGGACCCCGACTGGATTGTTTCTGTGGCCCGCCGCGGTCACGACATGTAAGTGGTGTCTCTGACCTTTTGTGAATCTGACTAACACTACACAGCTTCGGCCGAGGCGAGTCCAACTTTGACCGCATCGAGGAGAACCACGACGTGCCAGACTACGTCAAGAAGAACTCGGACAAGTTCAAGTACCTGCTGGACCGCGATCCTCTCAATGCCAACTTTAGGGACTACACTCCCAAGGCCACCTCAACGCCCGCGGCTTGATTTGCTATGTGGTTGGGTGGGCAGGACTTTGGACTACAGGCGTTTGGGGCGTTGGATACCTGTGTTCCCGTGGGAGGGACCTACAGAGACCTTTTTTTTTTCTTTCCGTCTTTTCTTCTTTTGTACTATTAATTTCGCGGCATTCCAATTTATTCGGCCGCCCATCTTCATCAAACTTTGAAGCCATCTTACCTGCCTTGAAGGATATAGTATGCGTGGCGCCATCCTCGGTTTGGCCCCTCTACGCGGCATGCCAAGAGCTCCAAGTGAGAATAGTACAGCTGCACGCGCACAGCGGACTGCATAGCAAAATTGCGTGTCCGCCGGCAACTTTGCGCAAAGAAACCGGAGCACTCCGTAGAACAAAGTTCAGATGGGGGAACGTTGCGACTTGCACGAAGCCAGAATAGAGTTTCCCCAGACGGAACCGCCGGGACCATTTCTGAGACGTGGTTTTGGCGGGGGCTTGGTTTGGCTGGCTGGCTTGTCAAATCGTTTGCCCACATGCATTAGATCTTTGTAATCTGCGCAGGGCCGCCCACCGGCACACACTATTGGGTGTCAAACGGGGCCAACGGGTGTATGATAGCAAGGCTGGACCCTGGACGTTTGTTCATTGTGATGCGTGGCAGCGTGATTCTATTCAGGGAAGAGGATGCTTGCTATAGTGTGTTTAGGAAAACCTTATTGCGATGTGAGAGAGCCAGGCTGCTGAGGCCCAAGGGACCGGGAATGATCACTACGCCGAACCGATTGGGAAGCTGGGTTACCTTATCAGAGTTTTGTAGTCTCTATCTTTGGGGGGTTAGAGAGTCGCAGAGTTGCAGAGGAGCATAGAAGGAAAGGCCATAGTGAACTGGAGAGAGCTATAAACCTACGGGATATATTCGAAACAGCCGCGGATGAAAGCGTCTGGCACGTTTGGGAATGCCAGAATGGCGTTCTTACCCTTCATGCCACGTCGTTGTAAGTTTGCCGACGGGGTTTATTGGGAATGGGGTGTCAATTTGCGGCATGAAACTTTGAATTCTTCTACGGCCTCACGCAGCTGTACTCTGTAGACAATGGGGCTTTCGCGAAAGCGAAAACTTCTGCCCGAATCTTACAATGGGCAGAATGGGCAGACTGTGCGCAGAGTCTTTGAGTCATGCTAGTGGGATCGCTGTCATCCGAACACCTTGTCTTTTGTCTCAGTTGGAATCTGTTAAAAAAAGAAATTGAAAAAAAAAGAAGATTGGGCTCGTCAACCTGTCGGAGAAAATATAGTCAGGATTCAAAGAGGAAGGGGTGGGAAAGAGACGGCATTCGCGTCCATAGGTCTCTGCCTCCGACCTATAGTATAGAAGTGGGCGTTGCCTTCGGCGTGAGCTGTACTGTACATAGGCAGGATGGTGCAGGGTTCCAGGTCTCTCGGATACACCGCCCGTCGCGTTTCCATCCCCGTGAGTCCATGACAGCTATGCGCCGCGTGGGCGGTCTGGAAATTGGGATCCCTGTTGCTTCCGGATTTGCGGTCGCTTGTCCGGGCCGGAGCCGCTTTTGGTGGAGTACCTTCGGCGGTGTTTTCACGGAGAGTTGTGGATAGTCGGCGGTCGCATCGGAGAGAGCAGAGTACGTCCGGCCGAATCTCCATCGCCACAGTAGCAAGCTTCCACAGCAGAGTTAAGCTTCACTCTGAAATGCATATCCCGTGAGCTATCACTGTGCGATTGATGCTACTGATGCTACCGATGCCTTCGTCCCAGCCCTATGCCATAGGAAGCCATGTGATGATGTTGCATAACCCCTATTCACACGAGACGACCCGATGCCGTACCCTCCCGATTTTACACACTCCCATCCCATTAAACCTCCTTGGCCAAAGAAACCAAGCCAGCCGGGCGCAGAGGCAACTAGCGACTCCTGCTCCTTCGACGGCTCCGGCTCCGGTCTCGATCGCGTCTATCCCTCCGCGACGAGACGCTGCGGTCTCTCCGGCTGCGGCGGTCACGGTCACGATCACGATCCCTATCCCGATCACGATCTCTCGACCTGGCCCTCTCCCGGTCTCGTCGATCTCTAGAGCGATCGCGAGAGCGGTCTCTATCGCGGTCTCTGTCTCTCCGGTCTCGATCTCTGTCCCTATCACGATCGCGATCCCTGTCTCTGGTGCGGTCTCTGTCCTTGTCCCGCTCGCGATCTTTGCTGCGCGAGCGACTCCGACGCCGCTCGTCATCCCGGGCCAGGTCGTGAGGCCGCTCTCGGTCTCTGCCGGGGGGCACGTACCGATCAATTTCATCCAGGTCGCGCCTGCGTTTCGCCTCGGGCGAGCGATCCCCTGTGCTTCTCTTATCGTCAATCCCGGGGACCGGCATGCCCTTCTCCCGAGCCTCGCGCTGCGCGGCAAGATACGCCTTGGCTTCCTTTTCGCGCTTGCGGACCTCCACCATCTTGGTGGCCTCCTTTTCGTCCTTGTCGCGTTCCAGCCTGGGAGTCGATCGCACCACAGGAGAAAGGTGTCTCGAGCGAGACCGGCTCTTGCGATCGCGCTCAGAGGGCTTTCGGTCAGAAGAGCGATCTCGGCGAGGGCGAGAGCGGCTGCGGTCACGGCGGATCGACTCGCGCCGGTCAGGCCGTGGAGACCTGCTTCGGCGGGTCCGGGAGCGGGAACGCGACTTGTCTCGGCGGTCGGCCCTCACGTGAGAACGGCTGCGGTCTCTGCGATCGTTGCGAGCCCGTGAACGGCTCCTCTCGCGGCGGCGTGAGCGACTGCGATCTCGCCTGTCGGAGCGAACACGGTCTCTCCGATCGCGAGACCGAGAGCGACTCCTGTCACGGCGGTCGTGACGTGTGCGAGATCTGCTTCGGTCACGGCGCGTCTTGGATCGAGTGCGCGAGGGGGTCCTCTCCCGCCTTTCGGGTCGACGAGACCTGCTGCGGTCGCGTCGGGTTCTTGACCGTGACCTGTCACGTCTGTCGCGGGATCGATCACGCGGTCGAGGAGATCTGGACCGACGATCACGTCTGCGACGATCGTCGTCGTCTCGTGTACGCCGTCTATCATCATCGCCATCCTTGTCCTTCTCGCGGTCCTTGCCAGTCACCTGTGACCGGCTGCGGCTTCTAGCCTTGACAACCGGTGCATCAGCTTTTGGCGTCGCGGCGACGCTGGCATCCCGTGCTTCCTTCTTCACCTCTACCGCCTTCTTCGGCTCTGCGGCCTTCTGCGAGTCTCGCGAGGAGGCAACCTTCTTAAAGGGCATGATGGCAGACGCGGGAGCCAGTTTCCTAGGAGGTGGTGCCAGCGCTTCGTCAATCTCCAGTTCGGGTTGCTTTGCCGTGCTGCGCTTGCTCTCTCGAAGGAGGTCCGCAAGGGCTTCCTGTTCGAGTCTCTCGAGCTGCTCCTGGGAAAGCTTCTGCTTGGCTTCTTCGGTCTCTTCGTGCCGCTCCTTGCGCTTGCGATCTCGCTCTTCCCGACGGTCGCGGTCGCGCTCGTCGCGGTCCCGATCACGGTCTCTGTCGCGATCTCTATCCCTGCGGCGGCTGCGGCTACGGCTCCGGCTTCGGTCACGGTCGCGCTCTCTTTCCCGACTCCGCTCCTTGTCTCGTTGGCGGCGGCGCTCTTCTCTTTCGGCCTCGCGTTCTGCTTGAAGCTTCTCTCGGGCAGCCCGCCTGGCGTCTCGTTCGGCTTTGCGTTTCTCCTCGGCCTTTTCGCGTTCCTTTTCGACCTTTTTGCGCTCTTCCCGTGCAATCTTGCGTTTCTCCTCTTCGATGGCAGCCTCCTTTTGTCTCAGTTCCTCTCGGACTCTTTCGCGCTCAGCTTGTTTTGCCAACGTCTCTGCGTGGTAGTCTTCGTCCGTCTTGGCTCCCCGCTCTTGCTCTGCCGCAGCCTCGTCTTCGCCAATATCGGCGCGGCGCAGCTGTCGCATGCGTTCCTCGATGGACGCCCTGTCGATAAGTTGCGTAATGACCTGTTCGGCCTTTTGGTACACGCCGGATCGCTCGAGAGCGCCGTCAATCAGGGCGGCGGCTTTGCCTCGGTCGAGGGTAAGGAGCTGGCCGGGGTTGCGTTCGACTTCCTGTTCGGCCACCTCGAGGATGGCTTTCGTGACTTGGGCTTCGTAATCCTGCGCGGGTCAGTCATTTGTTGTGTGGCGATATGCCAGAAAAGACTCACGCTCGCTGCAAACTTGTCCCAGACCTCCTTGCGAATGGCGTCGTATCCGCCCTTCTTTTTGAAGCTGTGCGCCAGGGATTCGATGGCGGCTCGGGTCGCGGATGGTAGGGGGAGGTCGGAAGCCTTGAACTTCTTAGAGGCAGGAGGGGAGTCGGTCGACGTCGTCGCGGCCGGGTCGATGGATGAGGCAGCAGCCATGGCGGCTGGGAGTGCGGAAGCCATCTCGCAGTTGCGCCTGGCGTTTGTCGCAATCGGTTCCTCGCATGCGTTGTCGAGCCAGTGCAATCAAGCGCTCAGCGAGGGGCGATCAATGAGGTATCGTCACTGGTGCCGCAATTGCCATGGAGGGGGCGAAACTGGGCCAAAAGAATGCTGGTGATGATCAAGAAAGATTCTTGGGTCTCGATCCGTGGGACGCGTTTGGAAAGTCGATTTCTCGGAGCAGGTGCAGTTCAGAGGTGCATTGGTTAAGTGGAGGCCACAGGGGACGAAAGTTTAGTGGAACTGTCATCCCTGTCTTGCACAGCTGGTCCTAGCGTGGCCGTGGTCAGCAAGGTCGCCAGATTGACGAGGCTCTCTAGCGTTGGTGATGAAGCTGACCAGGGAGCTGGATCTTTGATGACTGCGCGACTGGGATGACTTAGAAGACATGGAGTCGGCCACTGGAAGGCCGAGCACGGTGTCACTGGCGAAGGCGTGGGATGTGATGACATTCATAGTTCCATTCTTGGGCACGATCCTTTGGGGTTTCTGGGCCCGAATCGTCGAATCGACAGGCCCAAAGTGCGAGAGACATCGTGCGGCATCGCATCATCTCGTGTTCATGCTCCAGGATCCCTCCCACGATGATTGTGATCAACGACCATTCCAAAGTCCACATCACGGCGACGTGTTGCATAGACAGACGGGCACCTTGGTATTAATGATGCTATCAACCGTCAAGAGCCTGAACGCCATCCCCAGCCGCTCCAAACCATCAAACCCCCTACTCCTTCACCAAGAACTCCTCAATGTCCTTGTCCTCGTCATCCTCCTGCAGCTCAGCAAGCCTCTTCTCCTCGGCATCAATCATCTTCTTGAGCACGTCGCGCTGCCTCTTGCGCGCCTTCTTTCCCCAGTCGGTAGACGTCGTCGCGCCCGTGGCCTGGCTGGTGCCGTCATCATCGTCGCTGTCCTCGGGGATATCCACCTGCCCGCGCAACGTGTTCGGCTGCACTTTTGCCTTGGGGCCGTCGAACTCGTCCTCGGGCTTGGTCTCGTGCTGCTTCATCTGCGAGCTGCCGGCCAGCTTCATCAGGTACGGCCGCAGCAGGCAGTAGGCGCCGACGATGATGACGAGGCGGATCCACTTCTCTGCGGACATGCCCTCGAGGGTGCCGCGCAGGTTGGTGCTGAAGCGCGTCCAGATTGTGTTAAGGAGGTTGACGACGGCAGACATTTTGGCGGTGGTGGGGTGGTTTCCGTAGGTCTGTCGTTTGGTCGGAGGTTGGAGGGTGCGCGAGGTGCGCTCGTTTGGATGATCGAACGTAGGGTGATTGATCGAGAGCGTAAGATATTTGGCTCTGATGAGGCGTTCGAAAGGACGACGACGGAGAGAATCAGAGATGAAGATGGTCGCAGCCAAGAGAAAATATCGCGACGTCGAACTGATCGGCCCGCACGGCGTCAAAATTGCGCAGACCCCACCTGAAGGAGCCCGCTAACTTTGGCCAATTGTCAGCACGACAATGGAGAAGCTCGCTGGACAGTGGAGGCTCAGCGGTCGGTCCAGGGTCCTACAGGGGGCCCGTCCAGTGATGTCAGAGCGTGTTCCGTTAGTGATCCCCCAAAGATTCGCAGACGGGCAACGCTTCGGAACACTCTGTCAGCGCCAATTTACTGGTGACTAAGAGGCCTTTTCTTTGCAGCAGGTACCTTGATTACCATCCATGGGCTTCGATATGTGACTATCGGCGCGACATCATGAATGGCAGCCTTCCCATGTCCCTGATGCTATCGGAGGCCGTTGCTAGGCTTCCAGCCCAGGAAGCTTAGTCATCAACCTCACGAAAGCGGCGCGACATCATGTGATTCTCCCAGACCCCGACGACATGTCCAGGTCCCCAGAGCAGTATATCGCCATCGTTGACGGATAGTTGGACCAATTGCCTCGCCAGTAGCTTACTTGAGCTTGCCTGTCGATCTCCCGTGTCTCTCCTACCTGGCCAAGTGATTTTTGATTCTCCTCAGCCTCCCCATACCCTGAAGAACCCCGCGACGCGTCCGTCGCGTAAAGTGGGAAAGTCAAGATGGCCGACATGTCCAACGAAGACGAGCGCGAGGTACTCATCTCCCCTGTTCACCCCAAAACGTAGCATCACTAACAATCATGCCAAGCGTCTCAAGGCCGCCCTCTGGTTCGCAGTCGGCAAGATCGTCGACGAGGAGTCCATCAAGCAGAACTGCAACGCCACACCGCAGTACATTGGCGCGCTGACCGAAATGGTCTGGGCACAGATTGGTCAGTCTTTGCCATGTTGCATCTTTTCCTTCCTCGCACGCCCTATGCTGACCAGACCAGAGTCTGTCGCCACCGACCTAGAGAGCTTCAGTCGGCATGCGCGGAGAACGACGGTCCACACTGAGGACGTTGTCCTGCTGGCCCGCAAGAACCCGGACTTGCTCGACATTGTCCGCGGTTTCGTCGAGGAGCAAAAGGCGGAGAAGCTCAGGAAGGGGAAAGGCAAGCAGAAGAGATGATGCAGTTGTGGACGGGTGAAGCCTCGCGAAGTGAGGACCGGTAGCGGCGAAGAACATGTGGATGCAGTGTTGATACCCAGATTTAACGAACGTTACGAACACTCCAGTTGAAATGACTACTGTGCTTGAGGTATCTTGTTTTGCATACGCCAGACGCCAAACCATCCCAATGACCTTACACAAACGCCAACCCCCACCCTCAAATCTGCCCCTGACGCCTCCGCTCCTCCGCGGCCTCGGCCTCCTCAATCTCGTTCCACAGCTTCCACTCCTCTTCCGTGATGTGGAACCACTGCGCGAGGCCCGTGATGAGAGCCCACAGCTCACCTGCAATCACCAGGTGCAAGAACTCCAGCCCGAGGAAGTTGGTCACGCCCCGCAGCGTCATGCCGCTAAAGATGTTGGTGTCGTGGATGTCAAAGGTGGGCAGGCCCATCCTCTCGCGGTAGGACCGTGCCACCAGGCGAAGCGCAACGGCTTCGTACGGCGAGACCAGGACGTAGCCCGAGATCACGGTGAAGATGTCTGACGCTAGACACGCCGGCAGCCTGGTCAGCATGGTGTCCATGTACTGGATCGTGGCGCCGTATCCGGAACCTTCGGGACCCGTGCTTGGCCGCAATTCGGCGGACCAGAGCCCGGGAGGCGCATCGGTTGAGTCTGTCGCTTCCACGTCGAAACTGATGAGCGTCGCGCTGATGCCTCCGTCTTCTTCGTCGTCGCTGCCGTAGTCTTCTCCCCGGGCTGAGAAGGCGCTTGGCCGGCGGACTGCCTGGACGGGTGGTGTGTCGCTAGGTTCCGCTTCCGGGGGAATGTCCTCTAGGATGTCCTCACTCCTTAGCTCAGAGAGAGGCTCGGGCTGCGAACGGTCTACGTCGGGCACCGGCTCCGGGGTCTCCGGGATTGTTACCGGCGGTAGTGGAGGCGGAGGCGGCGGAGGCTTGCGGTGGTGCACGGTATTCGGCAGTCGTCCGTAGAACTCTTGCCACAGGTGGCCAGTGACTTCCGTCCAGATCTGGCCCCAGATGACGTACGAAACAAAGGGGATCGAGTTGACACACCACGCGCCGGCATACTGCACCAGCGACGATGGGCTAAAGTCCTTTGGTGGCGCCGGCGCTGCGATGGGCGACGAGGGCGAGCCCGGGATGAAGAAGCTCAACGAGGGGAACCATCTCGCCGAGGGGATGATGTCCAGCCTCTGCAGGAACACATACAGCTGTAGGTGCACCCGGATGTACGACAGAGTCGTGTTGACAAACTTGTTCTTCCTCGGGTACGGGTAGAACCAGTAGGTGGCCATCTTGAAGACGTGGCCGCCGAGGAACGTCGGCAGACCCGTCAGGAGAGCCGACGATATCGACCGCTGGCTCCGCTCGTGCTGGAAGAGCTCAAAGAAGGAAATGTCGGCGTACCGCCTGTACAGGAGAATGCGCAGTCGCATGCCGTTAATACCCCAAACGCCGGCAATCTCCAGCGCACGCCCGAATCGCAGCAGCCGCGTGCCCACCGCATCCTCGTAGTTGAAGTATCGTCGCACGGAATCGACCTCGGCGGTGGAGGGCGTGTTGTCCGGCTCGGCGACGCCAATGACCTGCATCACCTCGTTGTGGGATCGCACCATGTCGCGGTTCATCCGTTTCGTCTCGGGGTTGACTGGTCGTCCTCGGTTATCGTACTGCTGGGTCGGCGCATGCGGGTCGTCTTCGCCTTCGCCGTCAACCACATCGTCAAATGGCGAGCGGCCCTGGGGGCGTTAGTGAGGTTTGGGGTGGGTTGGGGACAATCGTACCAAGGCCTGCGCGGTCAATGGACCGAGTCTCGTCATATTGAGTGGTGAGTGGATGGCCACATGGGTGTGTCGAATATGTTAAAAGATTACCAAGTCTCGTAGATTGGAATTAATTCACAGGTTGAAGACTCAAGTCTGCAATCGCAAATGATCCCAAGCTCCAGAGTCCAGGCGCTTGAAGTGGTCTGGGAGACGGGAGCTCCTGCACGAAAGCGGGCCCGATAAGATAGCGCTATCGATAAGCAACATCCCGCCAGAGAAAAAAAATAATCTGGGACGAACCGCTGCTTGCCGCATGTCGCGACCGATTGCACCGCTTCGATAGACCGACAAGATGGCGAGCAAACAGCCCCTCAAGACAACATTCGAGCCCGAACGGGTCATACGGCCCATCTTCACCGGCGGTTCCGTCGCATTGGACAATGGCGCCAAGATTCTCGCAACGCCCCTCGGCGAGGACGCCATCCTCACAAACCCCTCCAACGGGAAGCATCTGGCAAAGATTGAAGGAGTATGCGCCCCGGGACAACTGTAGAGATGCACAGCTAACCTTCGTGTCAGGATGGCGAAACGATCTCGACGCTGACCCGTATGTCTACTCTGTACCCGACGGAACCACCCATCTAACAGCTACAGTGACCCCCTCCGGCTCGCACCTCATCATCTGCTCCCGATCCCTCGCGATGAAGATCTACGCCCTCAAGACCACCGAAGACGGAACGATAGAGGCGAAGCTGACCCGCTCGCTGAAACCCCACGGAACCCCCGTCGTCGTTCTCGCCGTCGACCGAACGAGCACTCTCCTCGCGACCGGAGGCACCGACGGAGCGATCAAGGTCTGGGACATTGCCGGCGGATACGTCACGCACACCTTCCGCGGACCGAGCGTGCTCGTCTCGGCTCTGCACTTTTTCGAAGTGGCGGCGCGATCGAACGAGGACGCAAGCAAGAAGGGGAAGAAGGCGACACAGATTGAGGAGACAACGTCGACAACAACGAATTGGCGTCTGGTATCCGGCAGTCAGGACGGAAAAGTACGGGTGTGGGATCTGCACAAGCGCGCCGCCGTCGCCAGCCTCGACTCGCACGTCTCCAACGTCCAGGGACTCGACTACTCCCCGGAACAGCAGGCCATCGTCTCGGCTAGCAGAGACAAGACAATCATCTGGTGGGATGCGCGGTCGTGGAAGATTAGAAAGGTCGTGCCGTGCTTGGAGCTCGTCGAGGCAGTTGGGTTCGTCGATGGCGGCCGCCTGACGTATTCCGCCGGCGCCAAGGGCTGCCTCCGAATCTGGGACACCGACACGGGCCGCGAGCTCACAAAGGACCAGCCGGAGAAGGCCGAGGCCGAGGGCGTCGTCAGCGCCGTGTCGCACCCCGAGCTCCCCTTTATCCTATGCGTCCAGGTCGACCACACCCTGGCGCTATACAAGGTGCCGGAGAAGGATGCCGTTGAGGGATCGGTCATGGAGCCCTTCCGACGAATCTCCGGAACCCACGACTCCATCATCGATCTCAACTACCTCTTGCCCGACCGCTCCCTGCTTGCGCTGGCGACCAACGCCGAGGACATTCGCATCGTCTCGGTCAAGGACTCCTCAGAAGATGCGACGTACTTTGGCCAGGATATCGCGCTGCTCAAGGGCCACGACGACATCATCGTGTCTTTGGACGTAGACTGGTCCGGATACTGGATCGCCACCGGCGCAAAGGACAACACCGCCCGTCTCTGGCGCGTCGACCCCGCCAATAACTCATACACATGCTACGCCACCTTCACCGGCCACACGGAGTCGGTCGGCGCCGTGGCACTCCCGAAGCAACCCCCGCAAGAATCATCAGCACAGTTCAAGGACCCCCTGAGCCACCCCCCGCCATACCTCTTCACCGGCTCCCAGGACCAGACTGTGAAGAAGTGGGAGATCCCCCGTGAACCCCAGCAAACCCGCAAAGGCGGCTCCCGCGCCGTCTTCACCCGCAAAGCCCACGACAAGGACATTAACGCCATGGACGTCCACCCGGCCAGCCAGCTCTTCGCCTCCTCCTCCCAGGACAAAATGGTCAAGATTTGGTCCGTCGCCGAGGGCGAGGTCCAGGGCATCCTCCGCGGCCACAGGCGCGGCGTGTGGTCCGTCAAGTTTGCCCCCGCCGGATGCCCCGCGATCCAGGGCGACGAGGGCCAGGTCGCCGGCAAGGGCGTCGTCCTCACCGGCAGCGCCGACAAGACGGTCAAGCTCTGGAGCCTTAATGACTACTCGTGCATCCGCACATTCGAGGGCCACTCCAATAGCGTCCTTAAGGTCGCCTGGCTCAACATGCCCAAGCCCGAGGGCAAGGGCAAGAAACAGGTCCAGTTTGCCAGCGCCGGCAGCGACGGTCTCGTCAAGGTCTGGGACGCCAACTCGGGCGAGGCTGAGACGACGCTCGACAACCACGAGGACCGCATCTGGGCCCTCGCCATCCACCCGGTCGACAACACCGTCGTCTCGGGCGACGGCGACGCCCTCGTCACCTTCTGGAAGGACACCACCGCCGAATCTCAGGCCGCCGCCACCGAAGCCGCCCAGAAGCTCATCGAGCAAGAGCAGGAACTGCAAAACCACATCCACCACGGCTCCTACCGCGAAGCCATCGTCCTTGCCCTCCAGCTCAACCACCCCGGCCGCCTCCTCAGCCTCTTCACCTCAGTCGTCACCTCCACCCCGGAACCCGGCAGCCTCTGCGGCCTCAAAGCCGTCGATCAGGTCCTCGCCACGCTCTCCGACGAGCAGCTCTTCACGCTGCTCCTCCGCCTGCGCGACTGGAACACCAACGCGCGGACGGCCGCCGTCGCGCAGCGCATCCTCTGGACGCTCGTCCGCAGCTACCCGGCGTCCAAGTTCTCCAACCTCTCGGTCAAGGGCGCGCGGGGCCAGCGCAGCCTCAAGGAGGTGCTCAACGCGCTTCGCGTGTACACCGAGCGGCACTACAGGCGGACGGACGAGCTCGTGGATGAGAGTTACCTGGTGGAATATACCCTGCGGGAGATGGACAGTCTCGCGCCCCCCGCGATAGAGGATGATGTGGCCATGGAGGATGCCGCGGCGGATGTCATAATGGTGTGATGTGAGGAGTAGATGTAGGAGTTTAAAATAGAATGATTTTCTTGGCCTTATGCTATTGACATGGTGCGATGTGACTTCGCCTTTGATGTCAGCGTTTCCGCCGACTTGGGCAGAGCGGGTGTTGCAATCAATGTTCGCTACGGCTCTGGGTATCGAGTCTCTATAGGCGTACTCCCTCGCCATCGTCCGACTCGTCGTCGGATCCCACATGTACATATGCGTCTTCCCCATCCCCGCTGGAATCTTCACTCGCGCTCCCCGACTCATTTTCGCTGCTGTTTTCCGTCTCCACCTCTTTCTCCCATCTAAACAATGCTTTGAGGGAGCTGTTTGTGTGTTTATGATCTCGACCAAGAACGGATTCTCGACTCTCGGCGCACTTACGCATCAGCTGAATCGCTTCCTCTTTTCGCCCTTGGTCCCACCACGTCCAGGCCAAGTTATTCTCCTGCGTTAAAGTCTCGATGTGGTCCTCCCCTGAAATCTTTTTTCTCAATTTCAACACTCGTTGTTGTAGCTCCTCCGCTTCTACTAGTCTGTCTTGATCAGAATATAAGAGCGCCAAATCCCCCATGATCAATGCTGTGCTCTCATGCTCCTCGCCTAATATGGTCTTCCGTATTTCTAACACCTTCAAAAATAGCTTCTCTGCCTCCACTCGACGACCCTGTTTCTGGTAGATGTTCCCTAAATCTACCATAGCCCATACTGTGTCTTCGTGCTCCTCGCCCATCGATGATTTCCGGAAGTATAGCACCTTTGATTGGAGTTCTTCCGCCGCCGTCAAACGACCTTGCTCCAGATAGAGAAGTCCCAAATGCATCATGAGCTTAACCGTAGTAGGATGCTCCTCACCCATCAACGTTCGGCTTCGAATCAGCGTACGTGAGAGCATGTCCTCTGCCTCTGGTAGGCGGCCCTGCCTCGAATACGTAAGCCCTAGCTTCCTCATGGTCCAAAGTGTTTCCTCAGAGTCCTCCCCAAATGCGTAAATATCTCTCTCCAATACTTTCAGTTGCAGCTTCTCTGCCTCCTCATACCGCCTCTGCTCAAAGTACACAGCTGAAAGCTCGCCTAAGACGTTTGTCATCCTTCTTCTTTCCTCCCCGGCCTTCTTACAAATCTCGAGTGCTTCTAAATACAGCTTCTCTGCCTCTCCAAGCCGACCTTGTTGTAAATACGCACCTGCAAGTTGCCGGCGTGTGTATATTACGTCTGTGTCGCTTTCCTTCAACAACTTCTTCTGGGCCTCTAACGTAGGAAGAAGCAACTTGACTGCTACCTCTACATGATTTTGACGTTTGTGGCACGACGCTAAAGCGCTCATCGTGTTAAGAGTTGCAGGATGATCCTGCCCAAATACCGCTCTTCGAAGATCCAAAGCTCGTTTCAGGTGCTTCTCTGTCTCCAAATCTTGCCCCAAGTACTCAAAGTATCCGGCCACATTGTACAGTAGCTTTCCGGTTTGGATCTTTGCCTCGTCAGATTGGGGGTTGAAGCGTACCAAAAGGGCGAGGGCATGGGGTAGATATGTGAGACATGCTACTCGGTTCTCAAATTGACCAAGCGGAAAAGTACGTGCTATAATTTTGAGAGCCTCGCTTGTGAAGTGCAGCATCGTTGTCTCCTGCAGAAGACGTTTTCGCGTGACTAGATGCACGAGTCTATGCATGTCGTAAGTGTCATTGCGCGCCTGGGAGATGAAGGAAAATGCTTGGAGAATCCCCAAGGCGTTTGCGACTTCCAACGTCGTCTCAGAGCCGGCATCGGAACTAGCATCGGAACCGGCACTGGCGGTTTCTGAATCAGAATTATAGTCGGAGCCAATGCCGGAATCCCCTTCAAAATGGCCATCCACCTCGACGACAGAGTCTGACTTATCGCGTAGCTGCTCATGGCAGTACTCTTCGACAAGGTCTTTTGGAATAGCCTGGCGATCAAACATGCTCATGAAAGATAGCAAGTTGCCAGCCAAGGGATGCCGCTGTTCGATTTGGCGAAAAGAAATCAACCAAGTGGCCGTCAGGGCATGAGGAGTCTCCGAGTCCCGCCCTATGGATGCGAAAGGCTCACTCAGCTGACGCACCAAACTTGTGTCGCTCTTGTTCAGTATTTGGACATAGTCGTTGATGGACATGAAGTTTTTGAGGATGAAGGAGGCTGCTTGTGCCAAAGCCAGTGGCAAGTACTCAAGTCGAAATGCTAACGCGATTGCCTCCGAGGGAGAAAAGTTGTGGTTCGGGAGCAAGGACTGTAGCAGCTCAACGGCCTCGTCATCGCCCATCTTATTGACCTCGATTGGACCTGCTCCAGCTGTCATCCTGAGACCTGTCTGCATATCCCTTGTCGTTATAAGAACGGATCCATGGAGACACTCTGGGATAAAGCGGCCTAGCCTCTCTTCAGATACGGGCGACGAGGCATTTACGCCGACGACGTCTTCTCTAGAGTCCGTAAAGAAAACGTCCTTGTCGTCTGCGTTATCGATAATCAGTAACCAAGGACCGCTCTTATCGCTCTCGAGCCACTGCTTCACAAGAAGAAGTGTATCGGCCTTCTTTCCGTCGTAGCCCGGGATGCCACATACTTGAGCGATCGATGTGAAAGCCTGGCGAAAGCGTTGGCGGTTGCTGGCGTGGACCCAGAAGACGGAGACTTCAGGAGAAGTCTCACGTAGCCAATAGGCATAGGCCAACGCGATTTGCGTCTTACTTGTTGACGTTAGCCTTGCTTTAAAGCGATGCAAAGTCCGTCTTACCCAACACCGCCGAGCCCATAGAGTGCTACTCTTGACCGTAGTTTCGCAGTGGCCAGACCAGTCTGCGTGTCCCCGAATAGATGCGCGATACGGTTGAAGATCTCTTCTCGGCCAACAAACTCGGGGTTTTTGACATATGGTACCAAAACTGTGCTCTCTCAGCATGACATCGGTGGACCAGGTAGGAAACACGCTTACACTTTGGCGAGAAGGCCATCGTCTCGACTTGCTTAACCCGCTCAACTAGGCCGGCTGCCGGTACATAACGATCGAGAAGTGCCTTCGCTGCCGCCGCAGCTATTGCCGCAGCATAGTGCTGCCAAGTCTTGTTCTTGTGACTGTCGGCATAGTCGCATACGCCCTTGACGATGATGCAGGGGATTTCGTCCCAAACTCCAGCGCCCTCCATTTCAAAGGCGACGAGGCTGTGTTCTCTCGCAATCTGGTCGCGGTCCTTCCCGGACTTCATGACAGTGTCTCCTGATCCAATCGAGCCAAGAAACACATGAGGCTGATGCTTCGCAGAGGTTTTTTCTTGCCCAGCTCGCTGATTCTCGAGGCGTCTTCGAGACACTCGGTACCCAAAGTCACAACCGAGCTCCTCGCATGTCGCTTTCGTCGCCTGCTCACAGGTCTGTGTTTCACTACAGCTGCACTGTACGTCTTTCCGATGCCTGTGGGTGTAGTCTGGCTCGAAGAGCACGTCTTCGTGTGGTGGTCTACGATAGTCGACATCGTAGCTCTCTTCGACTGCTTTGTTCTGGATTTCCGTCAGACCTTTGGAGATCTCCTTTTGCAGCCGCTGCTTTTGCCTATGAGTTTCGAATGCAACGAGCAGGGACCGAATCTCTTTGATCGGTCTACCCAGAGTGTCGTGTATGGTGTCTTTCGGCTCAAACTGGCCTGGAAATAGCCGCCCCAGATCATACTGAACGACACTTTTGCTGATGATGACGTCTCCGAGCAGCATCTCCCCATCGCCGTTGGCATTGGGCACGCCGCCGCATATGCCACATAGGAGAGCTAATCTGAGACCCCCAAAACTCGACCGAAGGCTGGCACTTGCGCTTGCTGCACTCACTTTCCCCATGCCGGAAAGGAGAACGAGGACGGCATTGTGCTTGCCGATTCGACCCAGCGTGTAGGTGTTTGCATCACCTGCAGCCTTGCCGAGATCATGCTCGAGGCCGTCCCACAACACATCGAGGGCCAGCTCTGCGGCGTTGAACTCCAGTGGAAGGGCGCAAATGACTGCGACAGTGAAGTCTTCGCGGCGGCGTGGCGGGAGAGTGGCCATGGCGCATTTCTGTCGTCGTCGACGACGGACGAACGAACGAATATTGACTCGACGGGGTAGTGCTCATGCGAAGCAGTCGCCAGATAGACGTCAGCGAGTCCTGACAAGCTGCGGAAAACGGGGACGTAGCCCCTCATTTCTAGATCAGGCTGCGGCTGACATCTCGCCAGGCGCTTCCTGGGATAATGCCATTGGATCATAACGCAGCGACGCTGACTGGTCCATCATGCATGCGCTGCATGCGCTAACATTCTAGAGGAGCTCTGATGACGACTGGGAAGCCCGATATGCCCGGGATTGGTGTATTCCATCACCCGTCAGTTGATGTCGTCTGTGGCCGTGTAGTCACAGATGATGCCTGGATGAGGTTGTTAGAAGCTCTGGGCGTGGCTACCGACGGTGGGGGCGTGCACCTAGAGCGAAAGACTGGCGACTTTTTCCACGCCTGCAATCAGGAACCACCAATCCATACCTGCGACTTCAGCCTCGCACTCGCAAGTGAATCACCAACACCGCTCGATACCCCTCCATAGACCACACACACATCATGGCGCACAGGAAACGTCACGCTGAGGACCCCCTCGACGAAATTGCAGGGATGGACTCGCCGGCGTCGAAACGCTCACGAACCGTCGACTCCCTCATCTCCAACGGCTCGCTCGAAAACGGGCACGACACAGCGACGACGACGGACGACGCAACACCCACAAACGGCGCGGCCGAAATACCACAAGATTATGACGACAGCGACAGCGAAATAGAGGAAGACGCGCCGGTACATGTCCCCATCCGCCAATCGGCGCCGACGGACGGCTACGACGACCTCTACCTCGACACGATAGACCGCAACGTGCTCGACTTTGATTTCGAAAAGCTCTGCTCCGTCAGCCTGTCCAACATCAACGTCTACGCGTGCCTCGTCTGCGGCCGCTACTACCAGGGCCGCGGCCCGAAATCGCACGCCTACTTCCACGCCCTCGATGAGAACCACCACGTCTTCATCAACATGCAGACGCAAAAGGTCTACGTCCTTCCCGAGGGGTACGAGGTCAAGTCAAAGTCGCTCGACGACATCAAGTTCGTCTCGGATCCGCGGTACACGAAACCCGAAGTGGCTGCCCTCGATCGCACGCCGCTTCGCGCATCCTTTACGCTCGCGGGGAGGGAATACGCACCCGGCTTCGTGGGCATGAACAACTTGAAGGAGAACGACTACCTTAACGTTGTGGTCCAGGCTCTGGCACACGTCGCGCCCCTGCGCAACTTCTGCCTCCTCGAGGACCTCTCATCCCGTTCCGAGCTCGCCAAGCGCTTCGGCATCCTCGTCCGCAAGATCTGGAACCCGCGCGCCTTCAAAGCCCACGTCTCCCCCCACGAGCTGCTCCAGGAAATCTCCCTGCTGTCGAATAAGCGCTTCACCCTGACGGCGCAGTCCGACCCCGTCGAGTTTCTGTCATGGTTCCTGAACAATCTACATTTGGGGCTCGGCGGATCGAAAACAAAACCCGGCAGCTCCGTCGTGCAGCGCATCTTCCAGGGAAAACTCAAAGTCGAGTCGCAGGCCATCACAGCGCGCGCCGACGCGGGCGACCGCCTGCGCTTCGAAGACGCCGCCGTATCAGTCACCTCATCCCGCTTCATGTTCCTCACCCTCGACCTCCCCGCGGCGCCCCTCTTCCAAGACGAGCTCGAAAAAAACATCATTCCGCAAGTGCCCCTCACGACCATCCTCTCCAAATACGACGGCATCCACGCGCAAGAGCACCTCGCCCAGCGCAAGCGGTATCGTTTGTTGCACCCCCTACCCCCCTACCTCGTCCTCCACGTCAAGCGCTTCAGCCAGAACAAGTTCGTGTCGGAGCGCAACCCGACGATTGTCACATTTGACCCGCGCGGCCTCGACGTGAGCCCCTACGTGGAGCCGAATCCGGGCGAGTGGCCCCCGGGAGAACCCATCTGGTACGACCTCGTCGCCAACGTCGTCCACGAGGCCGTGCGCGCCAAGGAGGATGTTGCTGATAGCGGGGAGGAGCGCAAGACGTGGAAGGTGCAGCTCAAGGATAAGGGCCGCGACGAGTGGGTGTCGTGCCAGGATCTGTTTGTGGAAAAGGTGCAGAGCGAGCTGTTGTACCTCGGCGAGACGTATCTGCAGGTGTGGGAGAGGCGGAGGACGCCGAGGAAAGCGTAGATTGTAATGATATCGCGGGATGCGTTAGTCCCATGTCACGCATGCATTCAGTTCACGTTCGTGTCAGTGATGGTCCAGAGTGAGCTCATTTCGTAGTCATTTGGGACTATCCATTAGGCCCATGCCTTTCAGACCGCGCGTTCAGCAGCCCAGCAAAAGCATACCGAAGCATGCGACACTCGCATCGCAGGTTAGTGTTACACCTCCCGAAAAAGATGATGAGATTGGGGAATTTGATCCATGACCTGCCGCCTGGTTTGCAAACCCATAAAACAAACGTAACCGCTAAACGTTTGACCGCTGACCCCCCGTTTCCATTTCCCTTCCTCCTCACAAACCTCTTTGCCGAGTCCCGTTTCCGAGATCGAAAAAGATTGATCGTAAATTCCAAAAGGGGGGATTTCAATCCTCCCTTCATCAAGGAGCTGGTGAAAAAACAGCACATCCGTCTCCAATGTTTCCAAACCTGCTTCCTCATTTTCCCCCATATAGGTGTATTTTTTGTCGGGAGCTTTCACGAAACCCCGAATGCTATGAAGATCCGTCGTAGGGGGGTAATGGATCCAATAGTGTACAAATAAACATCAAAGATGGCTTTGGAGAGAGAAACAAAACAAAAATGCATCAAGGTTGTCGGCGTGGCGTTTTCCCGGCGAGGAGGGTCGTTGCTTTCGGGGGTAGTGTGAATGCTCCACTCACGAAGCGGCGGGCTTCTGCTCTTCGGTGGCCTGTTTGTTGCCGCGTTTGTCGTGCTGCTTCTCGCGGCGGGACTCCTCGATGGCGGCTCGGTGCTGAATGCTCTCGTCGTGGGACTTGAACTCGAACTGCGTGTTGGGCGGGCACTTGAGGTACGACTTCCACGTTTCACTGCGGGTGTTAGCTTTGCCTCAAAAATTTGGGACCTGAGATGCTTACCGAATCCTCAGCACGCGTCCACCGGTCGAGCGGGTCCAGATACTGATGATATCCTCGCCGTTGCGGACGCTCACCACACCGCCACAGACCTCCTCGCTGGCGTCGATAAAGGCCTCGCCGAGGAGCGCAAACACGGTATCCTCCCAGTACCGGTCGACGATGCCCTTCTTGAGACGAAGCACCCACTTGCCGCCGCTTCTGTTCTCCTCGTCCTCCCAGATTGGACGGATACCCCGCTTGAAGAAGTGGTATTCCCAGCCCACGGACAGCTCAGAGGGCCGCTTGAGGTGGGGGTAGCCGACCCAGAACTCCTCCACCGAGTTGCAGTGGATCATTGGCGTCAGCGATTTGGCGTACTCCTGGTACGGCTGGCCCTTTGGCTGGGGCGGCCGGCACCACGTCACCCACTCGTACTTGAGGGGGTGGACGCGCAGCTGCTCCGAGGACGTCCGGGTCGAGGCGGGCTGGGAGCCCAGGGCCTTCTTCTCGGGGATCGGGGCGATGGAGGGAACCTTGGCCGCGGGGTCGTGCTGCGACGCCGCCTTGGCGCCGCCCATCTTGCCCATGGCGAGGTCGAACGGGTTGCCGGGGGACTTGGGCGTCTTGGCGGAGCCGAAGGAGGCGAAGGCGCCGGAGCCCAGGCCAAAGGCGTTGGCCGCGCCGGCGGTGGTGGGCGACGCCATGCCGCCCGCGCCGGGGGTCGTTACGTTGTTGAATGGATTTGATTTGCCGCCGTGTGAGGACGTATCGCCGCCGAATCGTTTGGCAAAGGAGCCGTTTCGGTTGGCGTCACCGCCCGGCGCGGGACTACCATTTGTCGAGAGTGAAAGCTTGCCAGAGCTGCGTTCGTTAGTGTCATGACGTGCAGGGGGGGCAGAGGGACGAAAGGCTCACTTTGTGCGGCGGGTCCATAGGTTGTTATCCATTAGGACTGCTTTCGACGGCTTCCGGGGGAGGGGTGAATTTGGCTTGGTCTCGTCAATCCCTCAAAACGTCAAGGGCGGCGGCACCTTGGTTTTGTGGTTAATGGTCGCAGTTGTGACGGCTGGGACAGGGCAAGATGGCGTTGGGATACGATGAGGTCGGGATGGCGGCGGCGGCGGGCGTTGCGGGCAGAGGCGGTTGACGAGGGCCTGCTGCAGGGGCGGGTTTGGAGACGGAGAGGCACAGAGAGGAGAGGAGACGATGGCCGTTGGAGAGATGGAGAGATGGCGGCGTGCGAGAGCTTCGGCGGGGGTGAAGTTGACCGGGGGGTTAGGTGAGGAGGTTCTTTCGTTTGGAGAGAGAGGCAAGGTAAGGTAGCGTCGGTGTGGTATCTCGAGGGAGGTCTGTTTGTGTGTGGTGGGTATTACAGACGTTGGTTGGGGATTTTTTTTCTGCAGTGTTTGAGCGATGTTGTGAGGCGGGAGTGGGAAAGGCGAATGGATTATCGACTGATGGGGAACAATGAACAGCTTGAAGAGAAAAAAAATAATACGGAGTACGGATACTGATGCCCCATTCTCCTCGACCTTAGTCGTCACCTTGTTATCGATGGCGGATAGAGCGATAGCGCCTCGCTTAGCCCAGGTTAGCCTTACCCCTGATGGGTCCACTGGGCATCGCAGACCAATAGGGAGACCCAAAAGGACGCTGGAACGGCGCACCACAGTGAGGTGCAGTGAGGTCACAGCGAGGTGTCCTTGGAGCCTCGGGGCTGGAGACGCCCGCCGTCCGTACCAAGCATTGGGCGCGCATAGCTTTTTGGTAGGGCAGCGCCAGCGAAAAAGCACCCAACCTCTTATTTCACCATTTGCATTTCTCGGATTAGGCGGACATGCCTTTACTCGCATAGTCCCGTCCAAGATACCTAGCATCACTGACGAGCATTATCTGCCCCGGCACTTGGGATGGACGT